CCAGAATAAGGCCCACTACACAAAAGAATATAAACATATGAAAGGATAGACAACCTATGGGCCATTCGGTCCATCTTCTCTACAAAAATGAAATCAAACATATAAAGCATTTTCAAGCATGTAAAACCTACAATCTCTCTTTTTCCTCAATTGCATTACTTAAAGTAGATAAAGTGATGTAAAACATATTGCATTCCTGATTCTACGAGTCACCTTTGTACCATGCCCCCCACTGGAGCAAAGTAGAACCCCTCCCCACCCATTTGCTAATGTTGTTCATTCATTCATTCTAATAAAATATCTTCTTAAAAGGCAATTAAAATTATAAAATCATTATTTTTTATATGAGAATTAAGAATTTAAAACCCTAACATGGACTTGTTTGGGCTTGCCTCAAGGGGCGTGGTCGGAGCCCCCGGTCCGACAGCTAGGTTCAAAAAAAAGCAAAAAGGCGCATTTGAAAGCATTACATCTAAGACCTAGGCAAGGTGCATACCCTAAAATGTGCCTCAGGTATATGCCTAGGCGTGCTTGAGGTGGTGCACCTTTTAAATCACTGGTTGGGCCTTGCACTAATGACCTGCCCTGAATTTATCATCATAATTGTAACACAGGTTGCACTCCCATCATGCTTGCATTTTGGCCCATGTGAGATGCCTTAGAGGTACTAGTAGGCCTGGTCTGATTGCGGTCTTCACCTAGGTTGGTTCTATTTGTGGTAAGTTCTCAAGGATGGGGCCTTAAGGCTGAGTAGCTTTCTTGAGTCAATACCTTTTTTCTTCATATTGATGGGCTAGGCCAACCACCACCATGACAAATGCTAGTTGCATGGCCTTGACCTTTTGTCCGATGTCTTCCCTTAGTCCCCCAATCCTAACAAGGTTTTTTCTACCCAACCATGCACCTGGTTTGTAGTTGTATCTTTAACAGTTCTCACTCGCTTTAACTTTGAAAGGGCCCTGATGGACCAAATTGGATGTAGAGTGCTTCCCTAAAATTTGGCAAGGTCACTTGTGGACGTGACCGGCAGAACCACTAAAACTAGAGAACTGCCTCTATGTTAGGATGGATGGAGGTGATAAGGCACACGTTAATGCCTGGGTATTTCAATGCATTCAAAGTAACATTTAGCCTTTCCAAGGGATGGGGTCCTAAACTATGTATATTGGAAAACCTAATTTGGCAAGCCTTCACATGGCTAATCTGAAGGTACACAAGTTCCCTTGGATTGAACCTTCATTATTACTATATCAACTCGAGTTAGGTGGAAGTTTCTCACATTGAGTCACAACTGCCAAGAGAGTCTCCTTGCTCTCCTTGAGGTTGTTGGCCACCTTGTGCATGCTCAACTTCAATATGATTCATTCTTTCCTCCATGGTCGTGATTCAACTTTTTGGCATCTCTAAATGTGAGCTCTGATACCAACTTGTTGGGTTACTGCCCAACTCAGGTGTTTTTCAAGGGAAACATTTTCTTGGTTGGAACCCGGTTCAGCATGTAGATCGCAATCTCTGATGCGTGTCCGCAAAAGGATATGGGTAACTCTAAGTGGACGAGGAGTGATCCGACCATATCTAATAAGGTCCAATTTCTTCTCTCTGATACACCATTTAATTGTGGTGTAGCAAGAGGAGCAGTTGTGATATTCACCTCCTCGATCTGATTGAAGGGTTTTGATTTGTCTCCCTAGCTTAAGTTGTCATGTGATATCTTAACTAATCATATTAGTAGCAGTGTTTTAAAACGCGGAGGCGTGACGCAAGGCATTCCACTACCTAGAGGCATGAGGCGTAATCCTCCTGAACACAAGGAGGTGGGTTATGAGGAGGATGAAAAGGAAGGGGGGATCTCATTTTTTCTATATTTTAATAAAAATCTTTTATATTAAGAAGACTCGCCGAAGTGGAGCAAGACCCCCCCTAACTCAAAAATACAAATTGGGTTGCATCGAAAGGGGGCGGGGGGGTGCCCAGCCGAAGGGACAGGGTGCAAACCATTTTCTTTCCCCTTATCTTTTCTTCCCTTCCCTTACTTTTCTTTCCTTTCCTTTTCTCTTTTTTTCTTCTCTTTCCTTTCCTTTCCTTTCCCTTTCTTTTCTTTTCCTTTCCTTTTTTTCTTCTTTCCTTTTTTTTTTGTATTTTCATATCAGATGTGCATGAGGCGCAAGAAGCGTACGCCTCATGAGAAAAGCGCAAAAGGCGTACGCCTGTTGCACCTGAGGTGTACGCCTCAGAGGTGTCAGCGCCTTTGGCATACGCCTTAGGGTGTTTTGGGAGCGCCTCACACGCCTTTTAAAACACTAATATTTAGTAATGGGCCTTTTAAAACACCGATTTGGGCTTGAATATTGTATGGCGTGGGACCCACAAAGGTCTCACACAAGTCCATAAGGGTTCGGCCCCACCTCTGGAAGAGGTTAGGCCAAATTCACTGCTCAGGAGTAGTGAACCTCCCAATCAGCTTGGGCTCAATTTGGGGCCTTTGAGCCCAACATTTACACATAAATGATCATTGGATTCAACCACCCTACGAAGACCCAAGGATAATGGACTTATGTAAGATAAAGCTCATCAGGTAGTCTGCCCTGTAATGGTCTCTTATTACCTAACTTCTCGGTCCATAATCATCAAAACACTGCCTATAGGGAATGACCTCTTCCCTAACTATAAAATGCAGTGTTGCACTATCTTCTTAGATGGATCCCGAGATTAAAACCTTTTGCAAACTTTTTTTATAAAATAGAAATGCATTTCGCAAATCAGATTTCAAATACAATTGAAATCTACTGCCGACGGTTTAGGTTTCCATCAAAGAGAGTGTAAACCTTGATATTCACTTTGTCTGACAAAGGGGCCGATCCCATCACTATGATTGCCCACTCAGGTAATTTCCTAAACTGTCCCAACATACTTAGGTATTTGACCCATGATGGATCTCACCAGTTGGCATATCAAAGACAATTTAATCCAAAACCTAGTGCAATATCATAATCAAGTCTAGGGTTAAGTGTAACTTTTCAGTTTTGCCCATCTATTGATGTGACGCGTATTGGGAGCAGCAGCAGCAATGATCCGGTGTTCTCATCCTATCCAATTCGGCAGCAACAGTCTTATCCATTCAGCAGATTAGATTAGACTATTTTGTTATCTTATCTTATTAAGTTAGTTGATTAGATTAGATTATTTTATTAGATTAGGATTAAGAGAGACTTATCTTATCTTATCAGTCTTATCTTATCAAGATAGAGTTGGAGGTCGCCCTATTCAGCAAGGAGTCTCCCTAAGCGCATGACTCTTGTAATCTCCTATTTAAGGAGCCACTATTATTGAATAAAGGCATCCTGAATTTCAGTCAAAGAGAAGAGTAAAGGAGAGTTAGGGTGATCTCTTGGACAAATCACCCCTTAGGTCGCCACGATAGGGTCAGCACGCAATGGGAGGGGCAAGGGGAAATTAGAGGTTCTCCCCGTGGACCGACCCGTGACGAGATCCTACGCCCGGGCCCATAACATCTATCTCCAAGGTTCAGTGCATATCCGGAAATTGGTCTAGGTTCAGTGTTTCTTCCGAACACCCACTAGCTATGCTTGGGGTCTAACCGTAGTAGCTGAGACAAGTTGCTCCAATAATTCAGCAGCACACCAATGTCAACCTTGTTGGATAAACTTCCAGAGTCTATTCAATGGTTGAGAACATTCTAAACTAACACAAAGTCTCACAAGTGTCTAATTTAAGGAGTAATTCACAAAAACACATCAATTTGAACATAAAACAAAATTACACTTTATCCATTTACCGATAAATGTTTATGTACATCAATCTGATTGGAGCTAAGAGCATACATTGTCTAACACAATTTAGATCTTATAAATTTCATAACTAACCGCGAGTTCTTTGTGCCTGAATAACTGTTTTCAGATTCTCTTATGCATCTTGATAGCAAATTCTATCAATTAGACCCATGTGGCCTTCTAGAATATAGTTGGACAATGAAACTATGGAAGTCCAAACATGCATGTATAGAGCTTCAGGTCCTTGTTGGGCCTTTTGTTCACCCAGGCCCTACTCTCCTTGTATGGGCTGAGTGCTATCTACTCGAGTTGTAACATGTTACAACTATTTGAACAGATGGTTAACACCAAAGGGCAAAATTGGGTTTTCAAAATAATAAACAGGGAAATTGATGTTGTATGCAAACAGAATGTGCGGACCACTAACGGGGAGGGATAGTATGTGTCTTGTTACATCACTTAATAAGGGTATTTAAGTCATTTCAGAAACCAGAAAGGTGGTTTGAGTATTTCTCAGAAACCACAAGAGTAGTTTAAGTATTTAACCCTGTATACAATGTTATGAGTGGTGTTACGAGGGTGTCATTGAGGGTGTTTTTATATTTACAATGTTATGAGTGGTGTTAGTATTTTTCTAATGGACTTTTATGATCTTATAAGACACGATCATTCTCTTTCATCTTCAATAATAAAGCCACTGCTACTAGTTTTTAGATTTCTTTTTCTGGTTTTTTCTTGTTAAGTGGTCATGAGGGTATTTTTTATAAGAGGCGTTCATTTTCTTGTTGAGGGTGTTTTTATATTTACTTTTTATTGTTTTCTATTTATTTATTTGGAGAGATTATCTTCCCGAAAAATGCAGTGAATTGCAATCTATTTATAGGATGTTAATTCATTGTTTCTTTATATCATGAATCCTAAGACAGGATAAAAATATTTCTTTCATTCTGTTTCAGGTTATATTTTGTTAAATTTGTATAAAGACTTCATTAAGTAAATGTGAACTTCCAATAACTCAACTTTGGGGGGTTGACTTGAAGGAGTCCAATTTAGTAGGGGAGAGAAGCATCTATAGGGAGTCATTTGGTTTGTGCCTGATGACTGGTGACAGATTTAAATGAATAGGATGCCCGATATAAAAAATGTACGAGTGGAAGTAAACCGGTTCTTTTTTTGTTTGTTGACTCCAACATGTCATCTAACATGCAGGGCTACCTTGATCCAGAGTACTTATTAACGCATAAGTTGACAGATAAAAGTGATGTCTACAGCCTTGGAGTTGTATTTCTTGAGCTCTTGACAGGGATGCGACCAATATCACATGGTAAAAATATTGTTCGTGAGGTACTTCCCTATATACTTAAGACTCAGCTTTCTTATTAGACATTCTTTTAATGATCATTCGTAATTTATAGTTTCTGGAGTCACCTTGCGTTTATATGAATATAAACCATTTGGTTTTCGACTTGAAATTCTCCAGCTTTACTACACAGATACCTTTCTTCCTGATGATTGATCACTAGTTAACTGGTCTATAATTGAAATAACAAGGATCATAATTGGATATAACAAATTCCATTAAGAAAATTTTCAGAAAGAAAAACAAAAAAGACAAGAAAATATGGCATTTCAGGGCTTAAAAATAACAATTTGTAACAGATTAGGCTTGGTTTTAAAAGATGCTGAGGCAAGGCTGTGAGCAAGGTTCAAAATATCGATACACCTTGATATGCCGAAAGGGGTTAACGATACTTTGAACCTTGCACTGTTTTTTAGTTTTTTTTTTTAATTTTGAGTTTGGGCCTATTTTAATTATTAAAAGCAGAAGTTTCTTAGAATCTACATTATTAAAAGTGTGAGTGATAGTGTGGAACTTTTGTTTGACTAAAATACCCCAATTTTTTTATTTCATCTCTCTCTAATTGTAAGGATAGAAGTGTAATTTAAACAACCACTTTTCTCTTCATTGAAATCCCTCGCATTAATTCCTTTACTTAGGGTATTAATTTTCAATAACATTCATTAAATATTGTTCTTGACTAGAATACCCTTGTTTTTGAATTTAGCCCCTTTCTAATTGTTGAGGGCACAAAATGTAATTTTAACTACTATATTTCTTCTCATTTAATTCCCTTGTTAAGTTTCATATTTTGGGTATTAACTCCCATTTTTTCTTTGAATCCTATATGAATTAGTTATATTAAAGAAAAAAATGTAGCACATGATGATAGAAATAAAAGACAAATTTAAAACCAACTCAAAACTGGATTTGTTTTCTTGTTTGGTGGCGAGTTAACAATAGAATCTTTTGGGTCAAATGTATTGACCCTAGGTGTCATAATTAAAAGATAATAAAAATTTAAAAAGATAAAATCATGCAAAAGTATAAAAAATACAAAAAGATATTGTAGAAAACATTTAAGCAAATCTCTATTATTGTATATTCATCATATTAAACAAAAATAAGTGTAACAAGTATGAATAATTTTTATAGACATAAATATAAAAATATTATAGAAAGTTCAGTAAACATATTATTTCCTATCATCATCATCATCAAAGATTCTCACGTGCAAAGCATGTGCACACTTATTAGTCTTCAAAGATATTGTGATACAGTAATCAGATTGGTAAAAAATGAAAATATAATAATACTGTTCAATTTTATACATTTTTTAGGAAATTTCCCCGTATTTTTTTAATTTTTAATAATATGTTTGTGGTAAAAAATTTTGTAGATACATAGGTTATGAGCATAAACCAAGGTAATTGGTAAGTTTTTTATTCATTGATTTGGTTAAAGACTAATTATTCTTACACTTATAAATTTTGTCATAATACAACACGATATAAGAATTTTTTTTTTTAATTTGACACGGATAAAAATAAAATTGGTCTATTACATTAAGCATCCAGTTCAGTTCCGTGTCAAGATGGCATTGAAGGGTCTAAGTACTGAATTCCCCTAGAGAAAATTATACATAGGCTGTGGGTTACTTGGTTTCTAGTACTTTAAGTAGGTGTATCAGTATGAAAAAGATAAGATATTATAATATTGGGCGTATCATATTGAGATTTTGAATTTTGGCCTTGAGGCATATGCACCAAGGCAAAGTGGAGCCAAAACCACCTTCTCTCAACACCTTATTTTCACACCTCATTTGGGCGTGTTATAGTTTAATAAAACTTTAATTCTGTGGGTCAAAAAACAAACAAGACAATTTAAAAAATCTCTCAAATCTTTTTTTAATCCAAAAATCACTTTTCTTTTCTATACTTAATACATGTACTTGGAATGACATATTAGGGTTTAATCCAAAAATCACTTTTCTTTTCTATACTTAATATATATACTTGGAATGCATATTAGGGGCCAGGTTCTGTAAAAGAAGACTTAGTAGTCGTTAGGGAGTGCTTATCCTACTTGGTGAAAAAGCCTTTCTTTCAAATGGAAGTAATATAGGTATTTTGAAATTTACGTAGTGGGCCAAGACAGGCCAGAAACGCAATGAGCCTTCTTCAAAAAGTGCTTGATAAAAAAGACAAATCTTGAGTTTTGAAAGCCTTGTTTCCTGAAAAAGCACTTATTTTCCAAATGCATATAATTTATTGGTATGGTCCTAATCTAAATGAGCGTTTTTTCCAGTAAGTTTTTAAAAAATCAGCACTCCCAGATACACATCATGGAGAGCATGCCTACCACGGTTTGAACCTGTGCCTCTTCATTCCTCAATGTAAGGACTGAGGAATGTCTTACAACCATTCTCAGGTTCACCCATTACACGTGACAATGGGTTTTTAAATCATAAAATAAATAAAACAAAATTTCAACTCTTTATCCACTCTTACAAGAGGGGGTGTAACTTGGGCGGGTCCAACCTGAGCCTGACCCAATCCAACCTGAATTTTTGTATGGGGTTGAGGTTGAGTTTTTTAGGCTGCGGGCTGGGCCTGGGCCAGAAAATTTGGGCCCAACCCTAACTTGGGCTGAGGCCTCAGGTAGCCCAAGCCTACCTGAAAAAATACATACATATGTGCCTTATATTTATATAAAAATATCTGTTTTCTAATTATGTATATGTGTATGTATTATGCATAGGTATATTTTTAAATAAAATTTCTACATATTTTCAATTAATTATACTCTTAAATTGGGTCATAAACTCCGATAAAAGATGACTACGTAAAAATATATACATGAATTCTTTTGACCTCAACCAACCCACCCAAACCCAACTAACTCAATCCAGCCCAACCCAAGTTGTGTTGGGTTAAGTTTGGTTTGGGTCTGAGTTGATAAACTTGGGCTTAACCTCAGGTTGGGCCAGGCTTGAGCCCAAAGTTTGCACCTTTAGGGTTGGGTTTAAGTTGACCTTCAACTCGACCCAACCCGCCCAAGTTGCACCCCTACTTACAACTTACAAGCCATCTGAAAAGTATGCATTTAAAAAATTTAAAAATTATTTTATATGGAAAAGTAGATTATAATATACATGGATTAAGTAAAAATATTATAAGTATAAAATAAAATTTCAAAAGCATGGGATTCATATTGAAACAAATGTGTGTGTGTGTGTATGAGAGAGAGAGAGAGAGAGAAATAAGTAAATATATAAATTGATTATGAAAAATAAATTAAATCATAAAATGTAAATAAGTTACAAACAAAGAAATAAAATATATAAATATGTGAATAAATTAATTACAAAGATTACTTAATTTAGGTAGAGAAAGTTATAAACAAATATAAAACAAAATACAATAAAATCTAAAAAATATAGGATTCATGTTAAAAAGAATATATATGTAATAAAAAGAAAATATATAAATTAGCTATAATGGAAATAAATTTTACTCCAACATACATAAAAATATAATAAATATATATTACTTAAATATATATGAATTTTATATTGTATTTATGTATACATAAAATTAAAAATTTACACACACATACATACATACAAACACATACATGTATAGTTGTATACTAATGTATACATCCATATATAGAGACATAAAAATTATATATATTTTGAGGCTTATGCCTGGCCTCCACCTTTAGCCTTAAGGCTGTCAACAGGTCAGGTATGGGTTGGTTCTAGGTAGAACCAGTCCCGAACCCATTATTAATCGGGACAAAAAAATGCCCCAATTAATAGTCAAGTCCCATACCGAAAACTGTCACGATCCTGATTAATAGTTGGGTCTTACCCGATAGACCCGATTATTCTGAAAACTATTTTTTATTTATTTAAATAATAGCTTAAAACGTAAGTTTTGATTACATATTCTTAATAAAAATGATAGAAAAATACTAAATTGTTTATATGTTAATAAATTAAACATTTTTAGCTAATATTTTCTATCAAATTTACCATTTCAGACATGAAATTTAATAAAAATTATAATAAAATTAAGAAAACATTATATATTTAACAAAATAATCAGTTTGGAACAAGCAAGAACCAGAACTGACCTGATTATTAATCAGGACAGAATCATGGAACCAAAACCAACATAGTCTATTTGATCTGGTTAGGGCAGTCGGGCATAACCGACCCATTAATCCTAGTTAAAATTTTCTGATTTGTGTGTTAGACAACTTCCCATTGAAATATGGTACAATAATGGTCAATTTGGTTTAATCAACAGATGGTCCATGCATACACCATACTACATTAACATTATTCTGTCCTGTCATTTACCATTTAGGAAGACAATATAAACCAAGCAGTTTAGTTGTCTTTTTTTTTAATCTTTGCATGATGGACAGATTTTCTGTTGCTTAGACATGTTCTATCATTGCAAACCGTGGGGTGGCTCAGTTGGTTAGTCAGCAGAGAGGGATTCGAATCCTGTTGCCACCAACTTTGTGGAGTGGAGGGGGTTATGATTGTGGTGTTTATTAGCTATTCAATGCACAAACTGCAAATGGCTATAAACATAGTATGAGAACGGTTGTGTGAGGACTGAATCCTATTTAGATTAATACATACACAATTTTTGCATCTTTCATCATCATAGAAAAGTTACATCATTCTATATTCATTGTTTGCAGGTTAATGTGGCATATCAGTCCGGTATGACGCACTCAATCTTAGACAAATGCATGGGTTCTTATCCCTCTAAATGCATAGAAAAGTTTGTGGTTTTAGCTCTCAAATGTTGTATGGATAAGCCAGAAGCTCGGCCTTCTATGTCAGAGGTAGTCAGGAAGCTAGAAAGCATACTTCAGATGTTGTCAGAGTCTGATACGATGCTGTCAGAATGTACATATCCAAATTCTGGTATTTCAGCACCACCATCTTCACTGACATGTGTCACAAGAGACCCGAATTTGTCTTCTAATGTTTCTGGCAGTGACCTTGTCAGCGGCGTCATACCCACCATCAGACCTCGCTGACATAAATGTTCTCATGTGATTGCTCCTTTTATTGGTATATATACCGTTGCTTAATTGGGAAAGTCAATCAAGTCCCCATTCTGATTAAAAATTTCAATGTCAGTAAAGAGATAATGTATTCATATCAGAATTCGTATTCAATGAGAATTTTCTGAAACCATGAATGAAGATATGCCAAGTCGTTCCTTTTTTATGGAGTCCATGTCCATCGTTCTCTTTTAACTATAAAATTTATTGAGGTCTTATGTCCACGGTCCACCCCCTCGTAGACAACTCTCCATATAAAATAAACAAGGAAACTCAAAATCACACCAGATCAAGGTTTTGTGGACAATAATTCTCAACCAACTCTAGTCAATAGTCTTACTCTTATCCCAAATATGTGGGGTTAGCTGCAAATTTCTTAAAAGAATAAATAACTAAATAAGTACAACATACACCAAATGAATAGAAACCATTACAAAATCTCCCAACACCTCAAACTGTTTTCTTGGTACATTGAGTGGTTCACAAAGACTGGATTTGAAGATGTTCACGTGAAAACGATTGGTCCAAAATGGTACCATGGGGTCTATAGGCTTGGTTGCTCATGGATAGGGGTGTCAATGGACCAGTTTTGGATTGAATCCAATCTGATCCAAACCTTATCAAATCGGATTTGAACGATCCATTATAATTATTCAACTGGGCCAATTCAAAATAAATTGATTCGAATTCTTATAGGTCTGAATTGGATCTAAACCAAATTTTCAATAATCTGATCTTGGGGCCAAACCCTTGTTCAATTTGAAACCGATCAAAATTGAAACTGGTATAAAATCACTTTTAAGAAAGTACATTTACAAAAACACTTTTACAAAAGCATTTTTATAAAAGTAATTTTATGAAAGCACTTTTACAAAAAATACTTTTAATGAAGCATTTTTACAAAATTACTTTTATGAAATCACTTTTACAAAAGAACTTTTATGTAAGTACTTATCTAAAAGCACTTTTATGAAAGAACTTTTACGAAAGCACTTTTATGAAAGCACTTTGATGAAAGCACTTTTACAAAAGTGCTTTTGTAAGTACTTTTACAAAAGCACTTATATAAAAGTACTTTTGTAAAAACACTTCCATGGAAGTACATTTGTAAAAATACTTTTATGAAGTACTTTCTTATCAAAGCACTTTTACAAAAGTGCTTTTTCAATGCCAAAAGGGTATATTTTTGTAATTTTCAGATTTTCTTCATGTTAATATATTTTTGTAATTTTTATATGTTCTGTTTTTTATATAATTTTTGATATTTCATTTAGTTTGAATTGGATCCAATCCAATCCATTTACATTTTAATGGATTGGATTGGATTTGGACTGGATTGGGTCCAATCCATTTGTAAGTGGATTCACAATCCAGTCCAATTTACACCTCTACTCATGGGATGCTCTGTGACAGGAGTGAAGACTAAGGCTGGGGATCACTCTCCCCAGCAAGTAATTTCATCTTTTCATCCTGCGTTTCTAGTATATACTGGCTATTAAAAGAATAACCCGTATCTGTTTCCTTGTCATTTTCTCATATTTCTTCATTTCTTTCAATTTTCTTTGCATGAAAACCCTGTTCATTCCTGTTGACTCTTCCTTCCAACTGCTCCATTTTGGCAGCTGGGTTTGGCTTTAAGATTTCATATCATTATTAACTTGCACTTATAAGTTCTTGGTCAATTTGATTGAATCTTTAAGTTTAGATAATTTGTAAGTACTTAATGAACTTTCACAAAGTTTTAAGTGTCAAATCTAATTATATTTATATTAAAATCAGAGACAGCAGAACTCAATGTAAGACTAAATACATTGAATGGAAGATGATATTTGAAGTAAAGGCAATGAACCCTACTAGATACATTCGATGCACCTTAAATAATGCTAAACGATGGCCAACCTCTCTCTCTCTTATTTCCTAACTCTTTTAATTATCATTCCTCATTAACTATTCCATTAATTCAATCCTTCCACTAATTCTCTCTCATTTCCATTACTCCATTAACTTGCCTAAGATTTATTAACTTTATCTATATCTAATATATAATTTTATATACATTTCAACAAGGTTTTTAAAATCAAATTGGACAACGAACTGGTCAGGGGTCTAGTTCATGGGTTGAATGGTTCGACCATTCGAACCAAAAGGATGGCCCATTTTGACAAAAAAAAATAAAAAATGGCCAAAACCATTGGATGGTTCGAAAGGTTTGACTGCCTAGGTCAACGGTTTGCTCACCAAATCAACAGTTTTTGGCGAAATAACGGTTCTAGGGTAAAACGGAACCGGTCACTTGACCAGTTCCCGGTTTTTCCAGTTCAACCATCCGATTTTGAAAACCATATATTTAGATATATTTACATTAAATTCTAATTATTAATAACGATTAATTATATTCAAATGGAGATATTCAATGGTATATTATTAGGCTAAATAATATATTTCCATTCAAAAATTGACTTGGAGGCTGAATAGTTTTTGCCTCTAGGTCCCAGGTCAGCAATTCAACTATTCAGGTTGGACGAGTCAAACCATGGCATGTTATCCATCTATATATGTAGAATATAGGGTTTATTTGTTTTTAATTTTTTTATAAATATAAGAGCCAAAAATTAAAATTTGATACCAACAAATAAGGTTTTTTATATGGTGGAGCTACAAAGATCATGAAAAGTTATCCAAAATTAAAAAAAAAGGATTACTCTCAATCAAATAACTTAGCACAAAGTTAAATTCTTCAAAAGTTTTCAAAACATTGCATATTGTAACATGTGAGTATGTGACCTAATAACTGGGTCAAAGGGGTCAATGGTTCAACCACCCAAGTCTTTCACCCAAAAAAAGACCCACCTAAGTCGAACATGATGGATTTTCGAAAACTTGAAATTAAAAATTGGGTCGAGTGATGGTTTGAATGGTTAAATTGTTTGAGCCAGTGACAAGTTAAAAACATTGAATAAAACATCATAAAAATTATAATCCATTTATATTCCACATGAAAATAATAAAAATAATTTAGTAAGATACTTAAAATAGTATAAAAATAATCATTAATCATTAATTATTATTATTATTATTATTATTAATTTTTACTAATTTAAAACCAACATAAGTTCTATTGAAAAAATAAAAACTTAATATAGTTAATTAAATTTAATAAGGAGTAATAAGAACAAAATTAACAAAAATAGTTAATTTAAAATCAATTTAAATTCCACTTGAAAATAGGGAAAATTATAAAAAACTCTTTAGCTTTTCTAACAATCCTATGAAATTCCCATATGTTTTGACCTTGGCAAAAACTTCTCCTATTGTTTTGAAAAAAAAGTGCAAATGCCTTTCTTTCGCTAGCATTCTAAATAAAAATGCTAATGTAATGCATTCATTTTTTAAATACCAAATTTACCCTTAACTAACTCCATTCACATGTAAAGTTGCTAAAATATTTAAAAAAAGATTTGCTTCCTTTTACTTTACTTCAGCCTTTTTACCTTATTTTGTCCAAAAAGATTAGGGAGAATTGCTCTTTAAAAGTTATCTAGCAAAATAAATTAGTGGAGGGTAAAGTTGAACTTTAAATTTTGTATGATAATGCCTCAATAATGATAAGGATGTTTTGGAACCTCAATGTCTTTGTTACTAAAAAGCCAAGGGTAATAATGTATTTGCACCTTTTTTTCAAAACTATAGGAGAGACCTTTTGTTAAGGTCAAAACACAATGGTGGTTTATATAATTGTTATAAGAGGAAGTTTTTATAATTTTACCTAAAAATATTATGAAAATAATAATTAAGCAATAAAATTACCATTAAGATACAGAAATAATACAAATATATCTAGAGCATATCAAATTGACCAATTTCACTAAAGCGCAACTTAGATTGTAATCAGATAAACTAGACATAACCCAAAAAGTAATACTTGAATTGGACTTAAATGGACACCACTTAATTGGGAATATCATATTCGTCCTCAATTTGCTTATAAATAAAGGTCACAGATTGCACGGATCTTGACCAATTAGGTGGTATTCATCAAAATTCACAGGGTGCTTTGATTAATTAAAGCTCTTATGGAACCATGTCTTTAGGATATCATAGGTTTTCCCATTAAACAAAATACATAAGAATAGTTGCATGCATGTTCTCGGCAGACTGAGTTCTTCCTTGAGAGAGTTGAATCAGTGTGGTGGTAGACTTCGACTCTGAGAGAGTTGAATCGGCAAAGAGAAGTTAAGGTGCGATTGAGTTCTTCTTGTTCGTTCTAGAATGAAAATGAGCGGGTAGAGAGAAAATGCGTGCGGGAGGAAGAAAATTGCATCCCTGCCTTTTTTCTTTCCTCTCATTATTAGATTTTTCATTTGCATTCTCAACCATTGATTTTAATTCAAATCAATGGTTCAAAAAAATGATATATCTTAAAAGTCTAAAATTACATTAGTGGCGCTTTAAAAGTGTTTTTAATGGCAAGTTTATAAAAGTCACTTAAAACAAAGATATAGCGGCATTTTATACATGCATTTTATGGCAATTTAAAATCAGCCACTAAAAAAATATATTTAATAGCAATTTTTCTGCATATATAATGGCAATTCTTAAAATCTCCACTAAAACTAACATTTAGCACTTAAATAAATGCTATTATAGAAAACTCCTCTAAATAATGATTTTCTTATAGTGTAGGGGTGATCATGGCATAACACACAGGCTTGGTGTCGAAGTAAAAGCCCGTGCCTAACTCTACAAGAAATCTGGTGTTAACATTACCGGTAAAGTGCATGTAAACTGTGGTCGTAGAACAATTCTGGGGAAATGCGTACGTTGATGTTAATTGAAATCGTATCACATTATCTGTAAACTGTGGTCGTAGAACAACTCAGGTTCCCTGTGAAATGCGAATACGTCGATGTTAATTGAAATTTTATCACATTAGTTAATTTTTTATTTCAAATACAAACATGTTGACATTTTACCAGGGTTACTGAGTTATCGCTTGGTATTTTGTTTGGAAAGGTCGTAATGATTATTTCTTTAATAATGCCAATAAATCAACTGGTTGGGTTTTGAATTCAGTTAACAAACAACATGTCAAATGATATAAATTGTGATTTTGCTGGAAACTTTATTTCATTAGATGAAAGATTACGAGATTCAGGTCAAAGTA